TTATTAATAACTAGTGAGATATATTCCTATAAACTGAATGATTAACCTACTCCCGCGCATATGGGTCATGGGCAAGTTCTGATTGATTGAGGCTGATTAAAAATATTCTATTATGTCATGAATTTGAGTTCGGTATTTAAGTATCATGCATAGATCATTTGATTATTTTAAAACAGTTAAGAAACTAATATCTATATATAGCAACATACTATCTATAGTATCTTTTACAATATGTATTGTACACATCAGTCCACTTATCGCAGGTTGGTAATTGGGCCTACCGTATTTTTGCTCAATAGATGGCGCTACTGTGCGCCGAGCAGAGCGTGTAAAACCGCGCGGAAGTTTACGGAAGGTTTTTAAAATTAACTTATGATAATGCTCTATACATACAGTGATAAAGGCACTGAATAGGTAGATATATAGCCAAACGCCACTTTAGCGCTTGTCTACATAGAGAGTAGAAAACTAAATGTATGGGGATGACACTGACAAATGTCAAAAGTTACGTCAATTCTATATAATTTAGTTTTCTATTCTACAAGTAGACAAGCGCTAAATGGCATTTGGCTACAGCTGCTGGTCCCTTTATTAAGAGTTATTAATAATTTTCAATGCCAATAAAACTGGTAACAGGTTTATAATATTATATGACACTGTGTTATAGGAAATTATGACATACAGCCATTTGCATATCGTTTTGATCTTTAATTTGAATTTAATCGTTTACCTACGTTGGTGAACAGAATTACCTGTTTTTTTACCTCTATATAGATTAATAGGTATTTTCGTAGTCTTTTCTGGAAGATTTGATCAGTAGTTCTAGATTATAAATACAGAATTGTAAAATTAGATTATTTTTTCTTATTTTAGTTTACATATAAGTAGGTAGTATACACAAGAAATGACTGTATCTTGTTTACAGTTTTATGCATGTTTTATTGTATAACAAAATAGGTTTTACTTCTCATATTTATTAAGATGAAGCGAATCCCGCGAAATTAGTTCCACATTTGAAAATCTGCGCATTTTGTTAATTTTAGCTTACGAATTCAAAATATATGAAGTACATCAAAAAGTGAATTCTGTTCACTGTTCTCGAGATTTGAGATTGGCTATACCATCAGTGATTAATTTTTATACATATTATAAATTCTCTTGTAAATTTTTCTGTTAATTGATTTGCTCGTTGGTGACAGTAGATTTTAATCGAAAAGAGTCACAGTTCTCCATAGGAATTTAGCACCACAAGATATATTTTGTCTTTATTTATAGAATAGTAAGAGCTGATTGAAATATATAGACTGGGTAATTCATTCGAGTAACAAATAACAATCGGTACTTATAATTATAATTAAAAACTTGACGATCTTCCTAACAGCATTTTGCGACATTATAAATTATCTGTATTGATAAAGGGACTTTACTGTACTCCTAGTACTTGTATAAGTATGCACAATAAGTAAATAGATAGTGACAAAAACACTATTGAAATAGTACTTATAGTAAGGTTTATTTCAAAGGAAATTAAATCAGCTTTAAATCAAGCAATATATATATACGTGTATATATATCCAGTTAAAATGGCACCGAGTATCCATCACTCTGAAATGAACTATGAAAACAATTATATAAACACAATACAATTATTTACTATTATTAAAGTATTGTTAAATGGACCTGTCTGTGCAAATGTAGTCCACAATCGTAATAACATAGAGGCGACGCGCGACGTTGTGATTAACGAGCTTAGTCAATCGATATCTCTAATGTATCCTACGGCCTACCTCGGCACACGTCGATACCCGATACAGCCACGATTTAAACTGGCAACTTAAAGAATTCGAACACTAGAAAAAATATCACCATTCTATTTTTAAAATTGATTTAAAATAATTTACTCGTTCCATTAACGTAATCCGTTTAAGAATCTAAAATTACACCGAATAAGTTTGTCAATCGTCAACTCCTCATTAGTGTGAGCTATAAATATACGTTCACAAGATACTGCTAATTATTTGTTATATTTGGAGTAATCTGTTTGGACTGTATTCTTAGTTTGTGACTTTCCAACAACTTTGCTCTGTGAGTGATAATTTTTTGAACTTACATGGCAACCCTACGGTATTTAGATAGTTGGTAACACAAGAACTGCCGCGGTGTTGCCAATGGTATATTTATTATTGCAATATTTGCTATGTTTAACCACAATTGTCATGTTAATCTGGTGTCCTGCTTCACAAAGTCTTGATTTCAGAGAAAACCAAACATGTTGTTATAGTAACTTCTGCAAAATATGTGTATTAGGTACTCTACCATTAAAACAAATAATAACATTCAACGTTTTTGAAATTTTTATTTTTAATTTGGTCCTTAGAACTTCTACGGTGTAATAGTATAAGGCTTACCTTTATCGAGTGGTTATATTTCTGATACTATTCTTATCAATGCCAAGGAGAACGAGCGGAAAATTTCCATTTAGTAACGTAGCGGTTTGGTAATTAAAGAAACACCCGTGAACTTGTCCACTTTGTCGGAAATACTAGTTTCACTTTCATAGTTTCACTTTTTACCAAAAATATCTAAACAAAAAAACAATCAATTGCTATTGCCACAATAACATGTTCTGAATTTAAATTTAAATATATGAGAATATTCCAAAACGAAGAAAAAAAACGAAGAATAAAAAAGGCGTGACGATCATAAAAATATAGGTATTTTTTACCTATATTTTTATGTTCGTACGATTTTTATTACTATATAATGGGTAGTTATAATCGTCATTCTCTCCAGAATGACAATTACCCAGTAGGTACCATTTTATGAACTTAGAAAGTACCTTACAGACTTTGAGATTAGTTTATATTATCAATAATACTTAATCATATATATATAATAACGTTCAGCATTAACAATGAATATAAAACCGATCACACATTACGTGGTTATCCTAGACTGTGTAGAAGCCATGTTTTTATCCCAGAATTAAATTAAGCACTGCTGGCCTTATCCGTCCAGTGTGTGGTACGGAGGCATTACATTACATAAGTTCTATGATTTTATAATCACAAAATAATAAACATAAACCATGAGATACGAAATTTTCCGAAAATGCTGATATCGATAGTTAATAGCCTAATGTAGGTGTTTAGCAATTAAGTATATAAATCGTTTGTACTATTTTGTACTACAACTGTATATAGAGCACCTACCAGTAGGTAAAATATTAGAATAACTGCTATGTATGCAATCCTTCGGTTTAAATAAGATAAGTACTTAGATGATAAATAGAAATTTCGACAATACTGATTTTAAAATTAATTACCAATTGTAAATCATTTTCTCGAAATTTGTATGTTGTGAATATAATGAGGAAGTAAAAAACAACTATTTAATATTTACACTTAAAACGATAAAACTTAAAAATTACTTAACATATAAAATAAAAGAAAACTAAAAACTTATTTTTACGAAAATCCTTTAAAAAATTCGCTCGCACGACGTCAACAGAATACCCAGAAGTATTATTTAATCCATTTTAACATATCACTGGATTTTCTTCCTTAAATAGACCACAGGGTCGGGTTTAGCAATCACTTTGAGAGTACCTACGGAATTATTGATGTATTTTTACGTGGAAAGGTCCTATGGGAGGTTTTAAATGCATATATGGTTGGCATGACCAGACAGACGTATACCCATACTGATACGTATTAGCAAGCAGTTGATCCCTTTTAAATAAATGTCACTGTTATCACCCTAAATATTAATATTTATTAAGTAGTATTATTTACGTCGTAACATTGAAAAAGTGAATTTAAAAATAATTGCATCATCACCGCTAAAAACACAAAGCCAAAGATAATTCAGCAAAGGATATTTATTATAGTCACTTCTATTCCAAACGAGGCCTTCAGTAAAATTTTTCATTGATTGCATTTGCGTTAACATATTAAACCCAAACCCGAAAAACTATGTCTGCTAGATGGTATCTGGTGCGGAAATCTTCGTTGCAGCCAGTACACTTACTGTGGGAACTGACTGGAACCTCTGTTGCAGTCATCAGTCAACAACAAAGCAAAGACTTTTATTCTTTGATGGTGTTTTCCTTAACTTCCCACCATATAATACAACATAGTCTCATGCCCCTAATAGATATCCTATCACCCTAAATTACCCACTATCCCTAAATTACTGGAATGCAGTTCAAAGCGTCTGTCTGCTCCATGCTTTTAATGCGGATTCCGAAAAATAAAAGCCAATAAAAAACCTGATCTGCTATTTATTTCATACCAATTGATTTATATACAAGAAAATAATTATTACTAAAGTGGTATTTCAGATAACAACAAAAGATTGTGGAGTTATGTTGTAATACATACATTTCAATTCTGAATGTTCTTGGTCATAGTACGAGAGATGACGACCAAAACCATGTCTCATAGCAATACGGCAAAAATCCTATAAAATCGTTAGATTGTATGATTCTGAACCCGACTAGGTGTGTAGTAACGGTCGAAAGTGTAGCAACTGCGTGGGAGGCCATTTCTGCTGTGTCAAAAATATCTGAGTATCGAAAAGTTGTCTGATAGAGAAGGTGCTACACTGTTTGTCTGATATAAATTTTTTGCATATGTGGACAACTTATTTTATCATGTCCAACAATTTTCAAACATATTGCCATGATACCGATCGGTAAAATTTGTTAACATTTTCAAAACGGTCTCAATATTTAATGCGTTCACATTTCCGTCTGAAAATTGTTTTGTTCGCATCAAGTAACCAAAATTTACTAATAAAAAAGGTTTTCAGACGTATCGCTATGAGACATTTTTTGTCTGGTGTTTTTGTGGTCAGATCAAATCAAACGCTACGCGGAAAATCTGATATTGGTATTTTCGAGTTCAGGATAATCGTATCTATCGATTTGAGGCGGTTTTGGCCGTATTGCTATGAGACAAACATTTTGGTCGTCATCTCTCGTACTATCATAGACATTTTTACTTAGTAAATTCTGAAGTAGAATCAAACAAGCACGTCGTTTCGAACAGCGTTAGACGTGTTCCATAAGTGTCTGAAAATATAATGATTGTCATTAAATTAAATAATTTAGACTGCCTCGTCGGCCGAGTGGTCGCAAGTGCGACTGCCGGGCAAGGGGTCTCGGGTTCGATTCCCGGGTCGGGCAAAGTATTACTGGGTTTTTTCAAAAATTTCAGTAGAAGCACGGAGTCTGGATTGTGCCCGGTATATGGCAATAGGTTCACCCCCTATCACATGGAACTCATAACATAAATAGTGAAAAGTGGGTGTTACATTGAACAGTGGCATTAAATGCCGTAATGTACAGCTCTGATTCCCCTTCGAGGATAAAAAGGAGTGATGTGATTAAATGAGCGCTGAGAGATCTAATGACGACTGTCACGTATGAATTTGCTATTAGGTACCTAGAGAGTGAGAACTAAGGTCTATTGGCTTGTAATACCTCCGTTATACTACTGAAAATTTTCAGATTGGGATTGTAAAAAACAGATTTAAGACAGATGTGTTGTCAAACAGTGAAGGTTCACTGTTTGACTGCCTCGATGGCCGTGTGGTCGCAAGTGTGACTGCCGGGCAAGGGGTCTCGGGTTCGATTCCCGGGTCGGGAAAAAGTACTACGGGGTTATATAAAAAAAATCTCAGTAGTGGCACGGAGTCTGGTAATGTGCCCGGTATATGGCAATAGACGCATCCCCTATTACATGGGACTCATAACATAAATAGTGAAAAGTGGGTGTTACTTCTGTGTGCACCTCTGCCTACCCCTTCGGGGATAAAAGACGTGAAGTTGTGTTTCATTATGTGTTGTCAAACAGTGAAAGTTCACTGTTTTAATTAATCTAAAAGTGTACGAGTTTAATGTGCAGGTACGCTTCTGACTACGATTATTAGAATCTCAGTTTTAGTAAACCTATACGGCTAACCTTCAATTAGTCCGGTGTAGTCGTCACAAGTTTCCTTGAGCACCTCGCAAGCGGTCGTTTTATATTGTTCGTACGTGTTCTTAATACAAATTAGGTCGGGTCTGAAATAAGACAACATTTTGATAGCAAATTAGAGACATCATAAATACAGAGAGATTCCTGAAAGAAAGAAAGAAAATTCATTAAACACATAATTGCAGACAAAAATAAAATCATAATGGCGAAATATGGTTTCGAAGAGTTGTGTCTACCATAAATAAAAAAGGAACAAAGCATTAAATTAAGTGCAGTACCTAGTTATAAAAGATTTTTGCCCCACATTAGGATTTACTCCTGTGTCGTGGGTGCGTTTACAAACATACAAGTTCACATACACAATGACACCCAGACCCGAAACAACAATTTGTGGATCACACAAAGTGTTGTTACGTGCGGGAATCGAACCCGCGACACGTTGCGCGGCAGCCGGTTGCCCAGCCACCGCACCAACCGTGCAGTATTTTTTGTAAAAAATGAATATTACTTTTTAAATTATTATTAACTGAACTAAACTATTGTTTTGCAATTAAAGAATATGAATTGATTCAGGTTACATAATTCATTTTCATCTTAATTGTAATCTTTCTGTGTGAGTGTGGTAAGGACAGAGTAGTACTGGTAAGGAGAAGTAGATACAATCGATTTAAATCAACAATGCGGTCTCCATCGCGCTGCAACCTGACATATTGTGCAATAAGTCGTATTATGTCCAGCCGTGTACTGACACGGGCTATTGTTGTATGTTAACAGTAAATAAAGAGTACACTACTTTATAATTTCCCAACAATTGAGGAGTTCTTCTAAACAATTAGTGATGTTATATCCACCGCGATTTATCTTTTCGAATACAGTCGTCTTATAGAATGCAGTTGGCATAAGGACATTCTGGCCCTCGGTCACGTGGTAATCTAAAATGAAATAGATTATAATAATATTGACTGACATGTTTTTAATCGACGACTGCACGGGGTCTCGGGTTCGATTCCCGGGTGCGGCAAAGTATTGCTGGGTTTTAAAAAAAATGTCAGTAGTAGCACGGAGTCTGGAATTGTGCTCGGTATATGGCAATAGGCTTACCCCCTATTACATGGGACTCAGAACATAAATAGTGAAAAGTGGGTGTTACATTGTACGGTGGTATAATGTGACCTTTGCCTACCCCTTCGGGGATAAAAGGCGTGACGTTATTTCATGTTATGTTTTTAATATTCTTGTGATATATATATACAAAGTTGTAGAAGAAATATTTAACTGATCGCCTGATTTAGTTCAGTTTTGGAGCCAAAACAAAAGTACCTAGTAATTTTTTTGCAATATTTAATTACCTTTTGTTATTTATAACTGACTTGGTTTTACAACAGCAATGTAGGCGCACCATAACTTAATAACGGACAAAAACATATCATATTATATAAGTAAACACATAAAACAAATATTACTTACAATTGGGCAATATCAATAGAAGACAAGAAGCAAAACTTAATATTAAAATTTTCATTGTTCAGGCAGCTGCAATGTGTGTCTACGACCTGAACGATGGGAAATGTGATCATGGAAGCTATTTGCCTTTGATTACCAGCACACGCTTGTTGACTTATTACAATGAACAATTAACCATCTATCTGTGCTGTGATAAGCTATTCTATTAATCCTTGTATCATTCTCATTGAACGAAAAAAAGTATTCGTTCTGGTTCTTTCCATAGTACACTAGGGAAACCTACAGACTTACTATATATTTTTATATATGTTTTTGTTTACGGCTGCCTCGTTGGCCGGGTGGTCGCAAGTGCGACTGCCGGGCAAGGGGTCTCGGGTTGTAATTCCCGGGTCGGGTAAAGTATTACTGGGTTTTTAAAGAATTCTCAGTAGTAGCACGGAGAATGGAACTGTGCCCGGTATATGGCAATAGGCTTACCGCCTATTACATGGAACTCATAACATAAATAGTGAAAAGTGAGTGTTACATTGTACAGTGGAATAATGTGCACCTCTGCCTACCCCTTCGAGGATAAAAGGGGTGATGTTATGTTTTGTTGTTTAACCTAAATGATTTATTTTTGGAACGAAACTTCACGTTTATGCTATGTATAATGATTTGTTATAAAGGCATAATGTCGGACTTTTTTAATAATTTTTAAAGGGGGTCTTTATTCAATAAAGATATGAAAAACTCCATCGTAGAATTGACATTACAGAACATTTTTAGTTATTGCAAATTACAGCACGCTTTTGCTATGAACCATATTTGCAGCTTTGCAGAATGACGCTTCGTAAAATTAAATTAGAAAAATCATAAACAGAGGCATTTATCTATTTAAAAACTAGATTTAACCGGCGAGCACGTTCTACTAAACCGAACTAACAGAACTGACGTCAGAAGAATCATAATTTAATAAAGAAACAATTAATTCATTCATATGTGTTACCTACATTTACTTATGTACATAATAAAGCCGTATTGCCGGGTTTTAGATGAGATGTGCTAGTAAATACGTTTTATGGTGTGTGTTTAGACTTTATAAGCGCAATTCGGGTCGGTCCTGTCCTCGTAGGTACGTAATTGTCTCGGCCACGAATGACGTGACTCCAGTGCACTGACATGCCTGCCCAATTAGGTCTCATGTCTGCTACACGGATCACCTGTCCATTATTATGAGTTATGGCTTTATTGGGAACCAATTATCTAGTTGGGGGTTTCAAAGAGGTATTAAATTTTTTATGGGATAAGCCGGTAAATGAGCAGACAGATCACCTGATGGTCAGATCGGCGTCGACACCTGGAACACTAGAGGCCTTACAAGTACGTTACCGGCCTTTTGGGATTAGGAATTTGAGGATTGTTGGGGATTCAGGGATTGGGAAAGGGGGTGGGTAAGTAAATTCACACGACGAAATAGAATAAAAGAAATCTATTTAAGAAAAAAATACTATGTCTTTGAAAAAATCACCGAATTGCTTTAAACTTAAGATTCGAAATTGTTAAACAGTTTCAAAGAACAAAGACATTTAATAATAGTGTAATTTAGTAAAATACCAACGATATGACCTTTACTGCTTACTTTAAAGTCTTTAAACGCAGCCTTCAATTATGATTCGCTTTTTGAACGCCAGCTATTGCCACAATTTTAATACATACTTCCTACAAAGCAAACAATACGTTATGCATGTCTTTTCTATTTCAAAAATACTTGTTCAACATCTTTTGTAATAAATACATAAAGGCAAACAGTTACCAGTCTGATAATTCTCAATATACTGATATTTTTCCAAAAAAGCATTCTTAATTTATACATTTTCAAAGCTTGCGTGTATCATGTCGAGTTATAAAAACATGCAGAATAGATTATCGAAACAATTATATGAGTGTGTTTTAATAGCTAATGAATTGTTTAATATCTTGAATTATACGCACCTAAAGAAACAAAGATATTCTGATATATAATTTTACATTTAGGTATTTTTTCGGATCACCTGATGGTGAGTAAGCGGCGTCGGCCGTCGCCCATACACACCCGTACACCAGAGGTGTTACAAGTGCATTATCGACCTTTAGGGATCAGAGAGGATTGGCAATTTTGTATTTCAATCTTGTAGTGATAAACCTACATGTCACTACCATTTTATTCACGTTCAATAGTAGATAAGCAACTTTGCTAGAACATTTCAATAAGTACTACACAAATGTCGTACTCAGAGTGAAACAGGTGATCGATGGATTACTCCACTCTGCGGCATACATATTTAATAAACCATGGTATCGATTGACCTGCCCCCTCACATTAAACCATTGCCACAAACGTGGGAGGAATTAATAAAATAATAATCTATAATGATAGACGGAAAATTGACGTTACACTTTCCCATTGACAGCTCTATTATTTAGTTCTAGAATCTAGTTGTTGAACTGAATGAAAAAGTTATTAGGGTCGAAGGGTTTAAGTGTCTATTTCAATCTTGTTTCCTAGTTCGTTCAACTGTTTTCGTGATATATTCAGTAATTCGGTTAAATCGTAAGGTATGTAGAGTATACAATCGAACTGTATAGCTTTAACTGAATGTGTATAGGATTTATGGACCGACAATAGGGATGATGACAGGGTCTGAAAATTAAAAATCTAATTAGTCCGTAAGTTAGGTAATGAAAAAATATTAGACACATATTTTTTTATTTTGTCGTAAAATAAAATAATACTTAGATAAAACGAATCAAAGTTTAGGAGTGGGGGCTAAAACGTCATTTCTACGTATTAAATGTACATACATTTAATACGTAGAATACAAAAATACGCGTAGATACGTAGACGTACGTCATTTCTGCATAGAAATGACGTCACGCGACATGTCAAATCAATATATCGTCGAAAGTATGCGTTTCTGTAAGAAAAAAAAAATACGTGTCTAATGATTTAAAATAATTTACAAGACGGACATTAAAATAAAAATTAGGCATCTACCCTATTAAACGGTAGGTACAGTTCGACTATACAACTACATAGTTAAATCGTAAGGCGTGTAATGTGCGTTACCAAACTGCTAGTCGTATTCCCAAGTAAGTAAGCAATCTTAGTTACTTAAATTCTTACAAAGTATCACAATATTTGTCCTAAACTAGACAATCCAAATGCAATAAGCGAGATCTAAATTAAAAAAGTGAACTCGCTTTAAAAGCAAGAAATCTAGTCTTTTCTAAAAGCAAATCTAGAGCGTTTGGTACAGATTTAATTTGTAGGTCAAAAACATTGTACCCATTAAAGATGGTACGGTCTGAACGGAGAGGTTGCTAATTCGTAATCAACAGCTGCAAGATCTGGATTTATCTGGAATCTATTCGTAAATTTTGAATACTCGACCAGTTCTGTTCCAAAAAATAAAACGTATTTACCTAGGTGGTTAGCCTGTATTTAACATCCTTGCCACCTAGATAGTTAAGTAAGCCAAGTCATTATATGTAGTATAGTTAGTTTATGAAAATTGTAACAACTAGAAGATTCCAGAAATTGGCAACAAAATATCTTCTCTACAAGACAATTGTTTTTAAGGGGGATAATCATGTGTGTGGCAATGACTGCTCCCGCCTGGGTGAGGCGGGAGGGAGTGTCAGACTCTTACTGACTAAAAACCACCCGGTCCTTCTCCTGTACGTTCAGCCGGAGCCCCGACAACCCGTTAGGTTCTCCGCGACCAGGAAGGAACAAGACAATAGCACCACTATTTAGCGAATACGCTTTATATGCTAGTATTGCTAAAATAATTTAAACGTCTTCTATTAGATCTTTTCATATACTATTACGTTACTGTCAAACATTTAATTTCTAACGTATACAAGTTCGCACTACAGTTAATCACAGATGTGTTGTGTGTTAAAATATGCACACCCTGTGCCTCATGTGTGTTATTCTACGGAATTGTCACCGCTTGGTAAGATACCAACACAACATCACCCCTATTAATCCCCCAAGACAGAAGTGTACCTATGCGTAGGTACTTATAGTACATTCTTACACGGTTGTATCTTCAAATTACGATTCGTGACTGTACGTAGGTCGTGAACATCCCTCTACTTAGACTGTTCTCACTAAAAACTGGAGTAGCAAAAAACATCACTAGACCAGAGAAAAACCAAAGAAGCATAAAAAAATCGGTGATAAAAAATTATGAGTGATATGTGGAAAATGTAGCTTAAGTTAATCCGTAGTACAACAGCTGTGCCAATAAAAGTCCCGTCAAAATCGGTCCAGCCATTTCAGAGATAAGCTAGAACAAACAAATAGACACACAGACAAAAATTATTAAAAAAAATATTTTGGTATATGTATCGTAATATATATGTTCATATTGCATGTAGTAAAAAGCGGTTATATCAATATTACAAACAGACACTCCAATTTGATTTAAATGTATAGTTCTATAGATTATCGTGAAAGAGAAATGTTACCTAGTTTGACCTGATCTTAAGGTCAATGGTGCTAATAATTAAATTTCAGTAAGTATTAAGCGCGTTACCCAATTCGCTAAAACAGTTATTCACATATATTATTCTTCTGCAATTAGCAACGTTATGTGCCTAATCTTTTTTAATCTCATTAGTATAATAACTACATTTTTCTATGTGTTACATAGCTGTTTATTGTTAGTAAAAGTGTCATTTCATTACCAATTTTCTAGAAACAAGTGCGTAATAACATGTTTTATTTTTGCTGTTATTATTATAGTTATAGTATATACATAAATAATCTATGCCTAATGTTTATGCTCATCTCTCTTAATGGGACTGCTCAAGACCCTACGGAAATGCTCGGCATTTTATTATTTTCATAATAAATATAATACGTACTTAATATCCTTGTTCTTTGATTTACAACATGATAAAGCTATGAAGTAACAGGTTAATCCCATCTTTCCTGAAGCGATTATCGTACTCATGCTCTTCTCGGCATCTCACGCGGATCCAAACAGATGTGATTCATCTAATTCTTATTCAGACGCCTGTGAGTAC